CGCAATAAATCTGCGACCGTCAAACCGTCGTAATAATTTTTTTTTTGCGACCAAGGAAATAACGACCACCCCTTTACGACCGTTGACGGTCGCAATTATGAATTGCGGCCGTTTTTTTCCATTTTTTGCGACCGGTAGAGGCGGTCGCAAAAACCATAATTTTTAGTAGTGGGCCCCTCTTGTGCCTTTTCTTCACTCTTTATCCAGTAAACTCCAAGATTGGAATAAGGAAATATTTCACAATATTTTTAGGGAGAAAAGAAATTTGATGGCTAGGATTCAAGGAATACAAGCCAAGCTGTCCCATACTCGTGACTAGGGGTTGATTAAACTTGAAGCAAAGTAACGACGAGACCTCGACATTGTCCTTGATCAAGAAGAATTTTTGTGGTATCAAAAAGCTCGTGTTGATTGGATACAAGATGGCGGCCGCAACATTTCTTTCTTTCATCTCTCCACTGTGATTAGGAGGTGGCGCAACAAAATCGTGGCCATAAAGGATGTCAATGATGTTTGGATCCATGACAAGGAGGCAGTCAAACAACTCGTGGTATATTATTTTGCGAAGCTCTTCACTGCTGATGATGTCGAGGCTGCTTATGACATTCCAACAGGGGTTTGCTCGACTGTTTCCCAAGAAGAATGAAATAGACTATGCAAACCATACTCGAAGGGTGAAATTGACTTTGTTATCAACAACATGGGGGCGCTCAAAGCACCAGGGCCTGACGGATTTCAAGCGTTGTTCTACCAGAAGAATTGGGATGTGGTAGCTCCGAACGTGTACGCCATGGTCCTCGCAGCACTTGAGGGCAAAGGGCTTCCTGATACACTCAATGAAACGTTCCTAGTTCTCATTCCTAAGCTTGACAATCCGGAATCACCTTCACAGTTTCGGCCTATAGGCCTTGGTAATGTCACCTACAAAATTATTACAAAGGCAATAGTGAACCGAATTAAATGGTACTGCCTAATCTCGTTGCCCAATCTCAATCTAGCTTTGTGTCGGGTCGTCAAATTACGGATAACATAGTTATTGTTCAAGAAGTCCTCCATACCATGAAAAAGAAGCAAGGAGAAAAGGGCTAAATGATCATAAAATAGACTTCAAAAAAGCCTATGATAGACTCAAATGGTCTTTCATTCGTGACACATTGATGGAGATGAAGTTCCCTTTGCTTATGATTGAAGTGATAATGGAATATGTCTCTTCCCCCTCAATGCGTATCCTTTGGAATGGTGAAAAATCAGACGCTTTTTTTCCTTCTCGTGGTATTAGGCAAGGTGATCCATTATTACCTTACCTTTTTGTGCTAAGTATGGAAAGGCGTAATCAAGTTATTGAGGAAGCAATTATTAAAGAGAAGTGGAAAACAATTTATGCTAGTCGTGGAGGCCCTCTTCTTTCGAATTTATTCTTTGCCAATGATCTTATCTTGTTTGCGGAGGCTTCAATCGAGCAAGCTATGGTGATTAAAAATTGTTTGGATCGCTTCTTTCAAGCATTAGGTCAACGGGTGAGTCTACCTAAATCACGAGTATATTTTTCCAGAAATATCAAGAATGATAATCAGGTAGAAATCAACGAAGCTTTAGAGATGCAAGTCACTGACGATTTGGGTCTTTATTTGGGGATGCCGACACTCACTAGCAGGGTCACTAGAGAGACTTACGCTTATCTTTGCGAAAAAATTGATAGGCGTTTGTTTGGATGGAAATGAAGTACCTCTCTTTAGCGAGGCGGATTACACTCACCAAATTCACCATCACAGCCTTAGCGAATTATTCGATGCAAACAGCCAAGCTTCCAAGATCAATTTGCAATGAAATTGATAAAAAAAAAAGGTCGGAGATTTATTTGGGGGAGTTCGGATGAGAAAAATAGGATTCACCTTATCTCATGGGACACTCTTCAATTATCTCGTGACAAAGGTGGATTGGGTATGCGTTCTGCAAGACAAATTAATTCAGCCTTTCTCACAAAGTTCGGGTGGAGAGTCTTTAAGGTATCAAATGCACTTTGGGATAGAGTTCTTCGAGCTAAGTATTGCAAGGGTCGTTGTGACATCGACATGTTCATCCCTACCTCAATTATGTCAAATGTTTGGCGAGGAATTACTGAGAATGCCAAATGGATTAAAGAGGGTTCTCAGGTAGCTGTTGGTAGTGGCAAACGTACACTCTTTTGGGGGCGTCGATGGGCAACTCTCAAGCCTCTTCGAGACTATGCTACTGCATCCATTCCTAGCTCGGTGGAAGGGGCTATTATGGAGGAGATGTGGGAGGCTGGGTGTAGACACCCATTTGTGTCTCCCCAAAACCAAACCCGGTGATGAGTACCTTTCACGTCGAATCATAATCGAATGAAGTGAAAGTGTGGAAAGTTTAGTGTTGCGGATAGTTTTAATTTCTTTTCTCTTCTCTCTGTTTTTGAAAACTTATTTTAAGAAAACAGTCAATCCAGTTTGGTTGGTCCATGATATGGGTCCAATAGTAGTGTAGTTGGATGGGTCTTGAAAATAGCTTTCCAACGATATATTATTAGCCCAATTCCGATTAATATTGCGTAAATTATGGCCAAATTACTGAACTGGGTTCGGTTTGAGCCTTATATGCGGCCCAATGATCTAGGGGAGGGCTAATATAGATTTATCATTCCTAATGCAATTAGAAATGGTTTTAGTCTTCTAGATTCTTCTAGAAGGTTCTTTTCATTCCTAATTCAATTAGCATTGATAAATTGACTTTTGTTGACTTTCAGAGTTTTAATTAGAATCAAAGAGCATTTTTGAGGAAAAATACAATTTTATCCTCCTGTACGGCAATTTTTATCTGATTTTAAGAAAACGCGTGAATTTCTGAATCAGCGCCAAAAGCCAGCTGTAAATGTTGGCGTCTGGCGCCAATATCCAGCGTAGGCGCTAATTAATTCTTATCTGCGCCAGAACTTTATTTAGATATTTTATCTTTTGGCTGATTTTCTTTATAAATAACGTCGTAAAAATTTCGTTTTCAATCACCTACAATCACCAACTCTCATCAAGATTCTCTTGATTACTTTTTCTCTCTTTTTCTAAACTAGCTTCTCTTAACTACAAAATTCCGCATTCATTAGATCTAGACACACCTAGCCATATTCGAAGTTGTCTTCGCCCTAGACGTGAAAGGTTTGATTTTGAGGGTTTTGTCCCAAATCTCTATTTCAATTATTTAATTTAATTGTTGTTTTGTTTTATATTTTCCTTGAAGTTACTAACGTGTGTATTTTGTTATTAGAAAGAGGTACGAGGCATCAATGTAAGTATTTTGATGGTTTTTATAGATGTTATGATGTAGAAATCATGTTTAAGTTGTTATTATGATATTCCTAGTATCATGTCTAGGGTAATTTTAATATCAAGTATGATTGTTATGATGTCTTTTATTTTCTTCCTAATATTTATTCATGTTAGTATCATGTTAGGGTTAAAGCTTTGATTTTTATTGCTTAGTGACATGATAGGGTTTGTTATTAATCTTGTTAGTATCATGCCTAGGATCTTGCTATTATTATGTTTTAACATGATTCATGATTATTTTTATAATTGTTTTGATTATAATTTTATGATTATTATTATGTTGCTTGATTATATTTATTGTTATTGCTTGATCACACTTTTATGCATGTTTAAAGGGAATTGGTACTTGTAATCACGCTTAATAAGATAATTAATAATCTTGTTAGGGTTAATTTGATTATAATTCAAGTGATCGCCAATAATAAATTTATTTGTGCATTAATATTCAACCAACATAGATAAACAGGTTTAGGGTTAAACCTATTGAATGTATGTTAATCAGAAAGCGCACATGAATACGATCTGAATAAAGTAGAGGTCTATTATTAGGGCAGGTTCAATCTCTTTTAGGTTGGATTTGTACCTTCATCCCCGAACCCTATTTAGTTCAAGACCATTTAGAGTTGACGATCTCTTGAATCGTTAAGGGGTGTAACCTTCACCCTGTGAACGGTTTACAAGTTCCTAAAAAAACTTGTTGGCGACTCTTTTGCTCTATCTTCTTTCCCTTTGGACGCCACCGTACTTTAGTGTATGATCACAGTGGGGTTCAAGCTAGGGGGTTAACGCTTGAAATATTTCTCACACTGGGAAAGGGTGGAGATGGGAATTGTTTGCTCATCTTTTACCTGATCAGTAGCTCAAGCAGATTGCTTCTCACTCAGTAATAGAGAATGACACCTTTGAGGACCAACTGTACTGGAGAGGTTCATCTAGTGGAACTTTCTCAGTTAAGAATACTCTAAATCTGATGCGTGAAGAGGATGTGATCCTTAGAAATCCAAAGCGGGAACTTGCGTGGCATACTCCTATGCAGCAAAGGATCAAAACATTCTTATGGCTTGTGTTACATGATCGAGTCCTTTGTAACGCTAATAGGCAGAGAAGACAGTTGACAGATGACCCTAGTTGTCATATATGTGATCTTGGTGAGGATGAATCTTTAATTCACCTTCTAAGGGATTGTCCTGCTTCCAGGGAATTTTGGAAGAAAGTTGGGGATTCAGCACTACATCCTTCTTTCTTTACAAGAAGTCTAGATCGATGCTTGGGTGGTGAAAATTTTGGAAGCTGATGGAGCTACTTACTCGGACAAATGGCCTACATGTTTTGTTGTCACCTTATGGTGGATTTGGAGGTGGAAAATATGCATGCTTTTGGAAGAAAAGAGGATATTTCTATAGATGTTGGTGGCTTCATTCGAGATCAGGTTGAAGAAGTGTGGAGGAAAGAAAGAAAGAAATTCAGGTGCATTGGTTATCCCCCCTGCTGGTTGGTGGACATTGAACACGGATGGAGCTGCGAAAGGCTCACCTGATATTGCTGGTGGAGGTGGTATAATTCGTGATATTGAGGGCAGATTCATCAAGGGGTTTGCTGCAAATTATGGAGTATGTCATCCTTATAGGGGCTGAGTTGCTAGCACTGGAACATGGACTATAAATGGCTAAGCAACAAGGAATTAGGAAGCTCATTGTTCAGATGGACAATAAGGCATGTGTGGAAGCTATGAAGAATGCAAATCAGCAACACGGGGAGTGTATGCACATCATCAACAACTGTCGTAGTCTTTGTAATGTTTTCGTGTCTTTTGCTTTTGTTAATTGTTATAGGGAAGGGAATAGAGTGGCGGATATTCTTGCGAATATAGGGGTAGGATTTCAAGAGAGAGTGGTTTATTTCGATGATCCTCCCGTCGAAATAAAAAACTTTCTTTGGGAGGACTTAGTTGGTGTGGCTTTGCCACGTATGGTGATGTAATTTTCTTGTTTTAGTTTTTGGGATCTTTCCCTCATTTGCATCAAAAAAAAACCTATTTATGTGGTCAAACTTATAAGAAATAGTTATCATGTTATCATGTCATCATGTGAGTTAAAATATTGTTAGATTTATTGCATTTTGTATTTTCATAACATCACACAAATTTTTCTAATACAAAACTAGAGATATTAATAATAATCAAAGTTGTGCATTAAAAACCCCGTAAAAGTAAAAGTAGTATCTCATCCATCCCTTAATTAGATGCCTACTTCTAAAATTACACGGGAATTAAGAAACTTAGAGTATCCTTAAAACCCACAATTGAGAAGTACAAAGGGAATAAAAAGACATTTATTGTTGTCTTTGAATAAAACAAAACATAATGAAATTAAATGTTTGCACATATCAGCAATCTTTGAGGAAAAAAAAAGGGCCAATGACATTTGTTTATGAAAAATAAAAGGACCAATTGGATTATTTTGTTCAAATGGGGAATGAGGAGGAAAGAGACTAAAATGTTTTTCTGCAACCACTAAATGCCAAAAACAAAAGTAAATAAAGTAGTGTCACATCACACTAATTTGGGAAATAAATTTGGAAAATAAGGATAATTTGGTTAAAATTCACTTATTAAAAAAAGGAAATAGACATCTAATTTTAAAACCCTTAAAAATAAAAGTAGGCATCTAATTAAGGGACACGGGAGTACATATGAATAGTGTATAGATTTAAGTGTTTCAAAGTATATAAATATAATAATGAGTATTGATATTAGTGCATAAAAGAGTGGAACTTCTTTCCTAAATAATTAATCATATCAAGGAAAAATGAAAGTAATTTTTTGAAAAGAAACTAATTACAGACCTTCGTAGTCGTCACCTAGTCACATACCATTATCCCTGAATTTGGAAGAAGTATCCAGAGTTACATATGCAAAATCTTAGAGATTATAATAAAGAAGTTGTTTTAGGCATGGAGGCATTTGTTAGCAATAAATTATGTTATTGAAGCCAAGTTGATTAGTATATAATTAAATCAAATATCCAAGTTGATTCCTTTTCAACAAAAAAAAAATTAATAAAATAAAAATATAATATAAAAAATTAGTCAAGTTTGTTAATGATCAACTCAACCAAAAGATTAAGATGACGGTTGAAGTCGGGATTGGTTTATAAACTTTATATATCATACTCCATATGAGAGTCTTTTGGGCTTAAAGTATGAATGCTGCATGGGCCCCTTCATACCCAACGTTTAATAGTTCACTTTGAAAGGAGGAAGCGCATATTCTTAGGTGCCCACTCATGCACCTAGAAATAGGTGTAACAACAACAACAACACAATATGAACATTAGATTTTCAGAAAGTGAACATTAGCTTTCTTCTCCTCTGTTTTTCTCCTTCGTTTTTTATTTTCACTCTCTTCTGTTTTTTTAATTTTCCCCCTTTTTTTACAGTTTTTTGATTGAATTTGTTTCTTACAACATGAAATTAGTTATTAAGTATGAATTTTTGTGTGAATTTCGATAAGCTTTAATTTCAATTGATTAAGGTTTATATAAATCTTTCAATTCACAAATTATACTCTGCCTTTTTTCCTTCCTTCTTTAATTCCCTTTTCCTCTGGTTTTTTTTCCTTTTTTTTTTTAAGGTTTAATGATTGACTTTGTTCCTTACAATATGGAATTGGTTATTTATCTGATTTTTTGAATTCATATGAATTGAATTTTTTTTTAGTTTCGATCAATTTCATCATTGTATAAATTTCATCTGATTTACTGCATTTTTTTTTATCAATGAACATAATCAAGCAAAATATGAACATATGCATAGGTTCCCTTAAATGTGAACATTAGCTTTTCAGAAAGTGAACATAGACATAAAAAATATGAACATATGCATTTTAGAAAGTAAACATAACAATTCAAGATATGAACATAAGCATTGACTTCTTTAAAGTGAATATAAGCATTTAAAAGGTGAACATTTGCGTAAAAAATATGAACATATGCATTTAAGAAACAGAACATATGCATAAATAGATCAGACTTTATGAGAATATTTATGAACAACAAATATTTACTATGAATATTTACATTATGAACATATAAAATATTATTATGAAATATGAATATAAGGCATTTAATTATGAACATAAAAAATTGAAGAAATAAAAAATAATACGATTATGAAACATATGAATCATAAGTATTAAAAATATGAACATATGCATTTAAAATATGAACATATGCATTGGTTCATTTTTGAATGCGTATGAACATAATTAAGCATTTCATAAGGTGAACATATACATAAATAATATGAACATATGATTTAGAAAGTGAATATATGCATTTTAGAAAATTTGCAAAAGGATTCAAAATATGAACTTAAGAATTCAAAATATGAACATAAGAATTCAAAATATGAACATATGCATTTCATAATGTGAACATAAGGTAACCATTTGATTTCACTAATTTTTTTGACAATTCCAATAAAAAATTTCAAACAATAGAGTATCGAACAATATTTAAATAAAATTAAGTGATAATCATATAAATTCAAACAAAATTAAGTGAAATTTACATAAAATTGCCTTTTTTTAAGAGAGGATCCTTTTGATTTTGCATCACTTCTCTAATGTCCATTGATTTTTTAATTTGCAGTTTTTTAGTGAGAGAAAATGAAATAGAGGAGAGAGAAAGTAAAAAAAAGGATAGAGAAAATCATATAAAAGAAGAAGAGTTTTGAGTTTGGAAATGACGTTACATTTATTGGGTGTGGGTGGGTGTATTGCAGTTTTCGTATCTTTTAGTTTTAGGGCTTAATTTAATTGGGTTGTGTGTAAATGGGCTTCTGGGCTGCGTTGTTACACCTATCTAAGGTGCACAAGGGTGCACCTTAGATTAATTGGGGAGAAAGTGGATGAGATTCGAACCTGTAACCTTTGTGTCACGTTGGCGCTAGGATTGGTTTATATACTCTATCTAAGTTGATTAATACTACGTAAGTACGTATGTAGCTTCTTTCCTTAGTCCTTACATGTTATAACAGACGCAAAAAAGGTTAGCAATAAATACACAAATTTAAGTGGCAAGCGCTAATGATGACTGATGAGTTAGCTAAATTCACAAGCATGCAAGATGTAGTTAGATAAATTATGAGGAAGAATAATACAAATTACACGAACTCAAAAGATATACTTGAAAGATAGGGTTACTAGTAATGGGGCGTGATCATATGACCCAAAGTCATGAAGATATATTTGATTTTTAAGAAAATAAGAACTATGTCGTCTATAATAACATCATATAATTTTACATAAATTTGTAAATTTTTCTAAAAATATAACCATAAATCTTTTTTTTTTTTACATGGTATAATGTTGACCACATGGTAGAGTAAGAGATAAATGTAAGAATATCTTTACTAATAGACATCTCAATAAGTCAATGCGCTCTTGAATGGCTCATGAACAAATTAAACTTAGCTCGATCATATCAAAAGTCTCTCACTACTAAACAAATGAGCTTGAACAAACTTTCGAGCTCATTTAGTAACACTTATTACTTGACTCAATTAGTATGGTAGACAACTTGTTCAGTAAAAGGCTAGGGGTACACTAAGTGTACAAAATTCCTTTTGTACACCACCAATAAAAAAACGCCAACTCATCAATGTAATAATGGAAACTAAAAAAAGAAGAGGGAAAGGAAAAAAAAAAAGAAGAGGGAAAGATGAGCGCCAAAATTTTCAGCCTAGGCGCCATTGTGAGGAAGGTGAGAGGCAAAATTTTCAATGGGCGGCAACAATTAATGGATAATACACCATTAAATTCCCAATTAAGCATCAAAATTTCCCATCTTCTCCCCCAAAATTTCAACTTTTCCCCAAAAATTCCTTGGCGGAGAACACATCCAATTTGAATAAGGGAAGAATTGTGAAAAAATTATTCAAGTGTGGATATTAATTTCGTCAATCAGTTACAAATATTCGCAGGTAATCTTGTTAGTTGCTGAATTATTTCGTTTATAATTCCTAATTTGATGATTTTGATAATTTAGGATTTTCATTGTTTGATTTTGAAGTAGATGATTTTTGGGTAAAAATTAGGTTTTTATAAAGATTGAATTGAAAGGGTAAATCATTTAGATTAATAGATTGATTTGTATGTTGTCTTTGGTTTTGTTTCTTGTGGGATGTTATTTAATTGAAGGAGTTTTATGGGTTCCATTTTAATGGAAGCAATTGTTAAATGAAATCGAGGTTTATTTGCTGTCAATAATTTTATAGCATCTATTTTTTATACGTAGGATCATTTTGTCAAGATTAAATTAAAATATAATTTTATAGTATCTTTTTTTATTTTGTTGAATCTAAAATAAATAACAGTAGTGTGTTTGACATTGTGGCAGTGAAATGGAATGCAAAAACATGTCCCCTCGTTTGAACATTAATCTTAATGAAGTGATAAACGATGTGATTAGCTCAATCGGAGATGCAGATCGAATCAAACGATGTAACAGAAGAAGAAGCAACAATGCATGCCATTTGATTATTAATGAAGAAGCTGAGGTTACTAACATTAGTAATGAAGAGATTAAGGTTGAGGTTAATAACAATATAAATGAACATGATTCTCATAATCGGTCAAACGGAGATGAACAAGTCAATCGTACTCCGGCTGTGGGTATGTATTTTGCAAGCGGTGAAGAATTTACAAGGTTTTGCCATATGTATGTCTTTGAGAAAATGTTTGTATTTGTATGAATTAGATATGAATCAGTAAGCCAATATTTAAATTGATCCTGTTAATACCATTTTGATGCTGTTTAAATTCGGAAAGATGTTGTTTTATGGAATTTGATGCTCAGAAATGCGGAAAGGTTTTGGGTTTGTAGTGGGAGTTTCATAATTTCATATTTAAAGAAACCAGACCTCGAACTGTTTTATTTACGATTGGTAACATTAGTATTTAAAAGTACTAATTTTTATTA